TTTTTTTTTTTTTTCTTTTTTTTTTGAGCCGTTCTTTACATTCTAGATACGGCAGTCTTGTCTGATCATTGTCAGCGGGAAATTTGAAAAATTGTTTCGACGCGTATATTGAAAGTGCTGCGACACCATCGACTATAAAGATATTAGGTTACTACCGTTGTTAATTAGCTTCTCGCGAGGGTCATCGTTTATCGCCTTTCTATTTGTATTTGTCACTGGAAGGTACGTTTTGCACGGTTTACAGGCTACATACTTACAAACTTACACAGTCTTCGTGTACTTCATCGTACTAGACGCGCCGCACTTTTGCTCGTTCACTGACCTCTCTGTCGTTTCTTTGTCGATCTCTTCTGTCTCTTGTCGATTCTCTTTCGTCGCGAGTGTCGGCTTGTCAGTTGGCGTAATGATCGAAGGAGCCCAAATATTCCAAACTTGCGCGATAACAGAACTGATATTGGTCCTGTTTAAGCAATACATATATTACATTCATGCATGTATTTTATATATACATACATATACAACGTTATTATGTACAGTATCAACTTGTGAAAGATGGATTTATTCTTAACAAAATTATTAAATATAAAATTTGTCATATCACACGAATGGGAAATTTGAGCAAGACTTAAATATGTATATAGGAATAGAATAATTAAGGAGTGGAACGAAACAAGATCATGGAACATTCAGAAACATTTACTAACCTCTGTTTGAACCATAGCAGGTCGTTGCGTGCGCAATATTCTGACTGTTTGGAAGATGTCGACGACTCCCTCATACTGCATACGTTCCAACACAATGCTCAGTGTGATGAAGACACCTGTTCTGCCAACTCCGGCACTACAGTGTACAGTTATCGGTCCATCTTGACCAAACTGTTCCTTCGTTTTGTGAACTTGTCCAATGAAGTCGATGAAACCATCGCCAGACTTCGGAACACCCTGTTCAGGCCAGTCGATGAACTGGAACTGCCTGACCGTACGACTCGCTCCGTCTCTCGCGTCCGTCACCTTGAATTCCCGCAGAATGTACTGAGGCATGTTATACTCTGCGATCGGATCAACTACAAAGCACTGATAACGAATCGACCTATCGGACGGCCAGTACTGATGGCATTTCTCTCTACCCATCTCCTTTAATTTCGTTAACATGACCACGATCGTAGAATTGTGCTCCCACAACATACGCCAGAAATCGTCTGTAGTGTCGCAGAGAGGTCCTTGGGTGGCAATGTAAGCACCTCGATATCTATATCCATCTATGAGACTGGCATTGATATAATCTGATCCTTCGATGTTGCGTTGCGGTTGCAAACACACTCTGGTACACTCGTACGGCAATATGTGTACCAATCGATTTTTGTGCTTGTTGCAGGGAAGATTTGCCGAGATGAACCGCGACGAGTCTACTTTAATATTGGACAGTTTCTTGAACTCCAGCTCCATACCAGTAATATTGTCGATTTCTGGCTGCATGAGCTTCTGGATGTGAGAATGCAAGTTTCTGGCAGGCACTTCCGTGTTGCCGCAGATCACCGCCTCGTACAGCGCGTCGTGGATGAAGATGTACTGATCTTCGGTCTGGACCATGTAGTTCCTTTGAGCTCGTAGACAAGTCACGTGGCCGTATATGTCAATCATCTTCTCGTGCTTAATTCTCTCGAGCATCGAATCGATAACGATGAAGCAACCCGTTCTTCCGACACCAGCGCTACAATGAACGATCAGTGGCCCGCTGTCTGGCGGATTTAAGGATCTGA